GGGTGGGGTGGGGTGGGGGAGAGGAGAGAGAGAGGACAAATGTTATAATTGCAAAATAGTGAAATATTCCTTCCTATGACACACAACGCTTTACCCTCTGGCATGGAGAACAAAATTCATTATAACACCACCCAAGATGAAAGGGACTCCTAACAGAAAATTCTCTCTCCCTCTAAAAGTTTGGGCATGGTAAAACTAGGAGAAATATATATGGGTAATGATAAGGAGACTAAATTTGTAAATTAAATGATATGTCATCAATAAGAATAAGCATGTTTATCAACGCTTAAGTAGTAAATCAATCATCAACTTTCATGTCCTTTAATTTTCAAAATTTTGTTTACAAATTTAATCTCTCTAGCATTAGCCATGCTTAAGGCCATCTTCTATATATGCAATACTCAAATTTGCAATATTTAAGGTCCAAAAGTGGTAAGAGAGCTTTATTATTAACCAAGAGTTTGAGCTATCGAGTTATAGCCACTAAAGTCATCTCCAGCCCAGGACTATAGGCTAGTAATAGTGTATAAGTGGAATATTTATCGAGTTATTAGCAGTCGATAAATATTTTACCTAGTTCGTTTTATAGGACTAATATTAGTTCCCATTGTAAATTTTCTTGTAGTGAGTTATGATAAAAATCAAATTTGAGTTTTGAGTTTCTGAGGCATTATTATTCAAGAACGAAAAAAAAATCCTAATGCATTAGAGAGGCCCTAACTTATATTTGAGTCTGAACATTGAAGACGGCGTTCAACAAGAAAAATATTTCATTTGAAATATAAATATGCACCACCATTTTCAAAGAGGTATATTAGAGGATTTCACTCCTATCAGAAAAACATGATCAACAATATGGTTCGTAATCGTAAATGTAGTACATGCCTCATTTTTTGGGGAAAAAAAGGTACAATGCCATTCGGTGATAATCGTACTTGCATGATTATACACAAAACTAGAACCTCAATCAACCGGACAAGGATTGTCTGCCCTTTCACTTCCGGTGTCCTTCTGTGTCCTTCTATTTGTGTGGTCACAGTTAAACCATGACAACATTTTATATTACTATTTATTTTTGTCTTATTATCTCTATAAAAAAAACAATATAAAATGTTGACGCGGCTTAACCGTGACCACACAAAACAGGAGGGCACCGGAAGTGGGAGGGCAGACAATCCTTGTCCCAATCAACCCTAGCCTTACCAAACAGACAGAAATTGGGGGATTGAACAATTAGATTACCGGCCAATCAGTATTATGATGTGGTGGTATTCCTCTTTACTTGGAAGTGAGAGGTTTTAGGTGTGAATCTCGTGGATGGCAAATTCGATGCCAAATTAGGCTGTCCATTGTGTGGTTTCACCGAACTCCCTCTTCCTATAGTGTAAAATATCGATGTACAAAAAAAAAAACGATTAGATTACCTAAATTGATAACCACAACAAGTGGCCCAGTGGTAAGGCCGCAGATTGCGGCTTCCTAATAAACAAACAAATGTGGAGGTCCCGGGTTCGATGCTCTAAGTTGGTAGGTCTCATTATGGCCACTGGCATGGTGAAATTCTCCATAGCCTCTCCAGACTCGGAAGAAGTGGATAACTTCTCCATAGCATCTCCAGATCCGAAAAAGGTGGATAACCATAACTTGCCACTAATTGTCCCCTTTTTGTACCTTAAAATAAATTAATGAAAGAAGAATGGTAAAATAGCTTGAAAAAGGAAAGATAAAAAAGGAAAGAATCACCATCTTGAGAAAGTTGACAAACGCAGATACATACAATATAAGAAGGTGATGGGATATTGCCGATTCTTGATCCAATTAATGCTTGTATTCTTTTGTCCATAGATCGCTGTTTGTTGTATTTTGCATAACAAACAGCACGTGAACTTCCTTTGGTCCAAACTCTGGCTGGTATCTTAGCTGTTATACGGCAAGCAACGTATAAAAGCATGCTCTGGTGTTTGGAAGGAGGCGGGCTGTTTTTTTGGGATCATTTTGAGCCGATGTGTTGTTTAACATCTTAGCTGCCGACGCTAATGTAAGATTTACTTTAATTTTTGAAGTAAAACTCAAATTTTAAGTTTTAACTTAAGGAAACTAATGAAAATGGTTTGAAAATTTTGAGTTTTAATAATAAAAACAAAATAAAGGGTAAAGTGAATAGTAACCTGATTAACTTTTTAGTGTAAAAATATGGTTTTTTGTTAAAATGTCTATAAAATTAAATTAGAATAGTCTACATAATTTTTTTTCTTTTCAAATGTTACTTTAAGAAAAAAAATTATCCTAAATTTATTCTTTAATAATCTTGGACTAAAAATTTAAGCCAGAAGGTTTGTATGAGAAAAGCTATTTCTGAGTTAAAACCTAAATTTTCTGAGTTAAAAATTGTAAATTTTAACCCAATGATTATGGTCTAACCGTTTGATTACGAGTAATTTTCAATAAAATTTATCCTTCAATAAAAAAAATGCTCTGTTGTTTGGAAGAAGGCTCAATAAGCATATATACAAGCTAGCCCAAGGCATATTTATTGTTACAGATTTTACCTGGAGGCTTGACATGGGATTCCCTCGGCGTACGTCCCTGTTGTTGGTTGATTAGGGTTGAGGAGACCACAAGAAAATGAGACGTGCTGTAAAACTATTTCGAGATAATTGTAGTAATGATCCTCAACTTTAACTTAATTAGAGTTTTGATTCCTGAACTAAAAATCCGTGAGTATTGGTTCTTGAACTTGTTATAATGTGGAACAATATTCTTTTTAACAAACTCTATTAGAACTTCCATTCAAAATAAAAGGTTTAAAACAAAAAAGAAAATTGAATGGAAGTTCTAACATAGTTATAATAAGTTTAAGGACCAATACCTACGAATATTTAGTTTAGAGACTAAAGCTGTAATTGCGTCAAAGTTCATAGACTTTTGCTCTAATTTTCTCAAAATTCTTTTTTGATTCTTTGAAAACATGCATGGAAAAGATATTGAGTGATGAAAAGTTGTAACTAGTCAATGTGAAGACACTGGATTTTCTTGGGCGGGACGAGAAAGATAAGGAGACAGTTGTTGAATATGCCACAAGGAAACCACGATTTCTAATGCTCCTATAGATTTGTTGTCAAACGCGTTGATAGACTCTGAAACATGACAAGTCAGTAGTCACTTGATTGAGTAGGGATTTAAATTACAATAATGATTGATGAATGAGAAATTTGTATGAACGCTTATTTGTTTGTCAACCCTAGCAAGCTTATCAAATTATTGTGTTGAAATTGAATTTTAAAGTTAAATTTTTTGTAAATTTTTTATTTATGATAAAATACAATATGATTTCATTAAAAGCTATGAATAGGCTACTCAGTACAAGAGATGAAGAGATCCTCCTCAATCAATTATATCACAAATCAATGAGGGAGTTTCATCAAACCAAGTACAATCACCTCCTTAGAGGGCAAAATGAGCAAGCCTATGGGCAACATAGTTAGTTTGACGACGAACATGGGACACAGTAGCTTCAATGACCAAGTGTAATAAGGATTTGGCATCTTCAATGATAGGTCCGGTAGTAGACATATTCATAGAAGACTCCTTTAATGCATAAGTGATCTGAAGCGAATCACTTTCCAACAAAATATTTTGGAAATCCCTTTCGATTGCCATCAAAAGACCCTCTCTAGTTGCAAGTGCTTCAATGTGAATAGAAGAGAAGATATCCCCAAATCTTCTACTCGCAGCAGCCACACAAGTTCCATGTGCATCCCGAAATATCAACCCCACACCACCCAGATTAGTCTTCTCGCACCAGGCTCCATCCACATTAAGTTTGAGCCTCCCGGGTGGAGGACAAGACCATTAGGATCAAAGCCTACACAGCAACATGGGAGTTGGTGTTGTTACGCACTTTATGTTTTGTTTTGGTGTTTATTTTATAAGTTAGGACTCAAAAACACACCCATATACCCACTCAATAGTACAAAGATTGCAACCACAAAGGTTATGTAGCTATTGAATGGTAAAAAAACAGATCGAGGGTAAGAGGTTTCAGTTGGTATAATTGAAGAGATTAAAAGAAAGAAGCTGTTTTTTTTTTTGTGTGGAAGGAAATGGTAATTTATTGTCGTAAACAAAAGGTATATCAATTGGTCCATTTACAAAGTGAAGTAATAATCAAAGATATGAACCAGCTAAGCAACAAATAAAGAGCCAATACAAGGATTTAAGCCCAAAATAAAAGAACAAACTCTAGAAATCCTAACTACTCCTTTATCACAAGAACCACCATTATAGCAAGTAAGGAATAGCAAAGAACAAGCCTCGACAAGACGTCTGTAGAAGATGGGATTGGAGTTTTGTACTTGAGCCAACCTGCGTCATTCTCAATCGATCAAGGAAAAGAACCACCACAGACTTGAAGTCCACAAATGTGGTAAGGACTGGGATGAGAATCAACAATAATCTAAGGCAAAGAGAGTAAAATTTGATAAATCTAGGGTTTGAGATCTGAGGTAAGAAGCAAAACAAGTGCTAAGGAGATGAGGTGGATGTGGCAAGGATGAAAGAAAGTGGTGGAGGAAGATGAAAATCTATAGATCAAGAAAGAGAGAAAGGAAAACATAAACTAGAAGAAAATACAAGACGCGCATACCATCCAAATTTGAGACAACTGCTCAGAAAAACTAAGATAGAAGCTCAGATAGCTTTAGACAAAATGCTTAAGAAAAATAGGAATTGCCGCTGACCCTAACTGAAGCAGACAACGAGTCTGAGGCGAAGTGAAGCAGGTGTTGGAGATGGGATTAACAATCCTCTCCTTTTAGGGGAGGGGGGTCTCGCTAAGGCCGCGTAGCAAAGGATTTAGTCTACTGGAGTTCGACTTAATCCCATTAAAGTCGGTCCCTTTCTCATACCAAAACGAACTAGTAACCCACTCCAGTCTAGTAAAACTTAGTAAGGCCAAACAAATGTGCCCATATATTTTGAATGAAACTTCAAAACAAAAACAAAAACAAAAAACCGGAAAAAGAAATCAAAACGCCGTCGTTCATTCTTCTTCCTCTCCCAAACGAACTTACTCTCCCTCATTCATTCCACACAACGATTCCCAAGGCCAACCGGCAAAATCAATTTCCCTCGCCGTCCATCCCCTCCCCCAACAATTGTAACAGCGGATTAACATCTGCAGATTGAGATCGACAACTCCATATTCGACGCTACAGTTGCCAATCGACCCGACGAGGTCAGATCGCAAATTGGTAAAGATGAGCTTGGGATGGAGGATTTGAAGCCAAAAAATGGAGGGGTTAGAAGTAGATTTGAAGCCCATATTCGGGCAGCCCAGGGTGGAGGGGCCGGCTAATGCTTTGACTCCGCCGCGGCAGTTCCTGTTCCACGTCCATGGCTCCACCGCTGGTCCTGCGCACCTCAGAATCCACGTCACCGATTTCCACTCCAGTCACTGGGAGGCCGTGCGCTCCGTCTCCCAGCTCGACGACCTGGTATTTCTTCTCCCAAAATTTTCTAATTTATTTATTGATTTTGTTTAAATGTGTTCATGTATGTATGTATGTAAATTGTTATTGGTGAATTGCAGAGGGACAGCATTGGCATAGGAGGGTCTTGGTCAGAGTTCATAGAATATCTTGTTGCTTCCCTAAAGTCTCAAGACGTAAAGCTTTCTTTCGATGATGGTACATACTATATACCCTTTTCTTTTTGAATAATGAAATGAATCATTCACCATTCCATTCCTGCAATACTACTGCTGCTACTACTACTAGAGGCCGGTGTCATTTTTGTTTCCTTTTTCCAATCATTTGGAATCATCAAATTACTAGAGTGAATTATGAGTTTTTCTACCTTTACATGCGGTGCCGTATTTTATGTGTTACTAATTTAATAGCAAAGAATGGTGAGGCTTTAGGAGCATGCTGTTGTTTTACCGGGGCCGGGATTTTACGCAAATCTCTAATTGGTTTATGACATTTCTTGGTCCTGACTGTGCTTGAGTAGTCGTAACTTTTATAGACATGATAACGGTTTATTCTTCAACTTCAATGTATTTGAAAGAAGTCCTGAACAAATAGTTTTTTTACCTGGTTTTGCTTGAAAATGAGGAAGCTTGAGAGTGGAATTCAGACTTCCATTTAGCTTGAGGGGAATTAGTCATTCTCAATGTGAAAAATGGGAAAACGCCTAATTTCATATTTTGACTTAGAAATACTTGATATTCCCTTCAAGTCTCTTCAGATGCGGAAAAGTCAGAAATTTGATTATTGAGTGTTCAAAGTCTATTTTAAGACGACTTAACACATGTGTATGCATAATTGTTCACAATCAGCAGTAACTGTCTTGAACTCGCATGTTTTACTTGTTAGTTGTTACTCGTATTAACCCTATTGGAATTACGTAGCTCTTTGAATGATAATTATTCTTGTAATGTTTTGGAGTCTCTACCAAAAGCTCTTTTTTATTGGTATTAAGCTCAATATGACGACCATACGTGTATCCCTTTCCCCTTCCATTATTCAAAAATGTTCAATTGATTAAAAGAATTTTGTTGGAACGTTGATATAACTAATGGAATGTTTAGAGTAGCCCCATTACCCCACCAAGCACGGGCGACCAGAAAACGCCTCCCGTCCACCCACCCCCACCCCCTCTCTCCTCCTCTTTCTCTCTCATTTGTACATTTAATGTTGACTACATCTCTCACAAAGATGAGGTGAGTCCCATCTCTATGAAAGATTTGTTCGGTAAATGTGGTCCATGTAGTCGTACTCGGTTTGTTAGGTATACAAATTTTATTTTTTACCATTGAATTGTATAATCATTTGAGTTGTGCTAGCAACAGATTCTAGCTCAGGCGCTCCATCAGTCCAAAGCTTTTGGTTAAGTCACGTGTCCAACTTCTTAGTTTCCTTTTGTTTGCTTGTTTTGAAGACTGCCTTTTCTATGTAATTAGGAAGTTGCCACTGAACTTCATATTTATTTTCGACAATTAAATAAATTAAAAATTCAAATAGAAAGGGAAAGGCATACCACTGACTCACAGAATTGTAGCCCACCATCACCCCCACCCCCACCACCCCACCATACCAACCACCCCAAAACTGAATCCTTCGAATAGTTAATCATCCATCATCCTCAAATTAATCACTTCTAGCACCGCTCTAATTATATATGCTGACTGAACCGTCCAGCCTTAAAAAAATGATGCTAACTTGAACAAGCTATAAAAAATTCTTGACACTTAGAAAAGTTTTTTATTTTAATGTTTTGGATGGACAAGTAAATTTTGAGCCGTTTTTTCTTAAGAATAAAAGCTGTGTATGTTAACAACATACACGATCTTATATCTGCAACAGCATGTAGATGTATAAACTTTGATAAGGGAAATATGCTCAATGCTTACGTAGACTCTGTTATGTGTATTTCAGGTTGTGCACATGCAAAATTAGTTGCTCAAAAATCAAAAGGAATGCCTCGAATTTCCATTTCTCTCACAAAACTTGTGGGTACTGCTGCTAGTGAAGCTATTGCAAATCTATCTCTTCAGCTTTTCGGAGAATTTAAAAACCTCCATGAGTCTTACGTGGAAGGTTGTCCTCTCAATATCCTGCAGCAGAAGGCTGCATTCTCATTTTCTTGCCTACGTTGTGTTTTTCTGAATTGGCTATTACACCTTCTATACTTAATGCATCACGTTTATTTTTTCAGACATTATTGTGTATCTTAAATCCCTTGTTTGTGCATCTCTGCTTGATTTGTCTACTTGTTATTTCTCTTCTTCTTGTGCTGGAATTGATTGTACTTCTTTCTCATTGTGCTTCAGAACAACAGCGCTCTGTTGAATTGTCAAAAGTGATATCAGCAGAAAAGGTATGGCTCCCTGCTGCACTCTATTATTATTTAAAGCATTTATTCTGTGTCTTCACACATTCTGGGACACGGAAAAATGTCAATACTATACTGAATTATGTCTACATATTCCTACACGGAAGAATATTTGGCATGTTCCCGGTGCTGGAGCCTAGATTTTATCTTAATGGGAGCATGACAATAAAGCTCTCAAATATTGATTGTTCTCGTATACTTACGGCATGGTTCTCTCCTTAGAGTTGCTCCTCTTCCTGACTATACAGTTTCATAGGTGAAATACTGAGTGACACTGTAGCAAACCAGCCAATAATGAATAGTTCGTTTTTCAGTTGGAGTTTGTGGTTACTCTATGGTTTCAGGATTACGTTTATGTACCGTACATCATTATTATTCATTGTTAATGTGCACTTTATCCAGATTTTTTATTCTCTGTCCACTAATTTATCTTTTATTTATCACCAGTCCATTATTTACCTAAATTTGTTTCTTATATCTGTTAGGAAAAAAATGCTAGTATTCAGAGTCAACTGGAACAGTATACAAGAAGGCAAAAGTTACAAAGGATTAATTCCTCAGATAGAGCAGATGCTTCTGGACTATTCAGCAATGGTGTAAATAATTCTCCAGGTGTGATTTAATTGTTTCTGCCTAAAGCATTTGCCGTTTTGGTAAAGTGAGAAGTTCCGAGTTTCCCAAACAATGCAATTTGTGCGTGCGCATTTTCATATTAGTAAGACAATAGAAAAGAAAAATTAAATTGTTGATCATGTTGCTGGTTCTTGATAATATGTAGGTCAACTTCTAAATATCTTCTTCTGTGCTTGTTTGCATTGTTGATTGCTTTCCATGTAGCCATGAGTTCAGGTTTTATTATGTTCAGTCTTAGAGCAAAATATGCAAGAAGAAATGAAAAAGATAAGTAAGTTTAAAAGTTAAGCTGCGTCTGTGTGCGACATCATTCAGAGTGCATGGTAACTATGTGGGATTTAGTACATTTCTTAACTATGTTAGCCGATATTATTCAGTAATCGACAGAGCTCATCCGAGTCTCAAGTTTTTACTTTTGAGCATATACTCTTGTTGAGTAACTATATTTATTTTGTTGTCTTTGTTCTTTTTCCTCTATTCCCCGCTTACAGTTATTGGGATTCATCTCACGCAATTTTGTATTATCATTGTGTATCAACTGATCATCTCTATGTTATTGTGGCAGAGAAACGAGCAGCTCGTGATGCCAACTCAGCAACTGCCAATCGGGTTGTGCCTGCATATCGTAGGTAAGTTTGTCTCTCGAACACACATCAATCCCTTCTTTCTAAATTTACTGTTATATATTTACCATATATACGAGAACAATCAAGTGAGTGCTCCGGTTCGCTTCACATGAATAACAAATTTATTCTTAACAGGGCAAAAGTAAGAGGTGCTGTTCTGCAGGATACAGAAGATGAACAGAAGTGAGTGCTCCTGTTAGCTGACAATTTGTTGAGCGCCCGGTTCTGGAAAAATGCATTTTAAGAGTGAGTTTGTTTGTTTGGTTTCTACTTGTAAATTCAACAGTTGAGAGTTGAATAGTTTCAAGGAAAGGTTATGTTTTGTAGCATTCAGTTTAATTGATTTATTGTTAAGTCATAACATCACGTCGGGTGGCACAGCAGAACAATCACGCACACTATCCCTCAAGTCCATTTTAATTGATCACAACCTATCTCATCTAACCCACCAAAAGGGGCCAGGGTTAAGGGAGTGGGTTAAGTTTCACAATGGGTTAGTCATAATAATTTGGTTCAAATTCGTTTTTGGCGAGAATTGAATTTAAAACATCGGTAAAATGAAATGGAACCAGATGGATTTATTTTCATGGACAACCCAAATCATACTGTCACTGTTGACGAAATAGAACAAGTGCAAGATGTAGAATTTTCCAAGGCTTGTTCGGAAGAAGGCTCAATAAGCCTGAGGATTTGGCTCCATACCACCGAAGTGAGACAAAGAATGAGATAGGAGTTATGCTTCTTGCGATGGCTGGTTGTCTCCACCAACTCTATGCTGGTGGTGGCGGTGGCAGTGGCCGCGGCTGCAGGTGACCGTTATAGTAGGTTTCTTCGCTTTTTGCTTGTGGCCATTTTGGTTGCGTGGGCCTCCTCTTTACTTGGGTTGAGATTAATGGTTAGGCTTAAAGTAAGCAGTATTGTCTACTTCAGTATGGAAAAGGATCATTGCCGAATCATTTTTCTGGAGATCTCGGAGATCTTATGATCATGATCGTTCATTGTATATTGTGCGGTTAGAAATTATTTAAATTTTAAAATTAAATATAAATAGTACCTAACGAAAACTAACCGTACGATATACGATGAATGATCAAGATCACGGGATCCAAAGGGATTCGGCAATGATCCTTTTCTTTAGTATGAATAGATAAATTGGACCCTACGTCTTTTTTTACAATAAAATACTCTTATGTGATCCAGTCCTTCAATGAATTATGAATAATGCTAGGCAAGCACACAAAACCAAATAATGTGATACCAATCAAATTTGTATTTAAATTTAAGTAAGCAAAATTATGAATAATGCTAGGCAAGCTTCATTTGGGGCTGATAGTTATGCTTATCACTGGTGGTCTATAGTTCCAGGATTTTTGCCTCAACACAGGCTTGTGACATTTTATCTTGCCTTTATTATCGGTTTCTTTGATCATTTGATCATGGCAAGTATTAACTTGGTCCCCCTGATTGTATTGTTTCTTTTACTTTCATTCATATTTCTTAATAAAAATGGTGGAGAAGGGATGGCCGCAGGGTTTCTAGGTCTAATGGTCCTCACCCCTACGGTGAAGGGTAGGCGCTTTGCACTCGACTATTGTCGAAGAGCTAATCTCGCTTAATCTTTTTGCAATGAACTTTAAAAAAAAGTATGAGAAATGCTAAGAAGACTCTCAAAGTGAGACTCTCCATGGACTATTCCAGCTCATACTTTAACGTTATTTCTCGTGCCAATATAACATAACATTGTTCCAAAAACATGAGGTGGTAGAAAGTCCATGGAGAGTCTCAATTTTAAGAGTCTCCTAAAGATTTCTCTACAAGTAAATATAATTACAAGGATCCCTACAACATAGCTGATTGGTACAAAATAAGTAGTAATCAACCCATCATACCTTTCCTTGTTAACGTTGATTGAAGGCCAACGAAGGAAAAATATCATAGGAATCTCAACACTCTCACTTAAATTCCAAGGCAAATTTGGATGGATCCAAGACCACCCAAATGTCCGGCAAGAGGGAACACTCTTTTGGTGGAGTCATCGCCATTCCCTTTTATCAAAACAAGTTTCGATAATGGCTATAAAATATGCAACCCGACTAGGCCGCCGGTTCAATTAATAAACGATAAAAGTTTGGCTTCTTAAGATTGTCAAGGAGTTCTTTCTTGATATGCTTTGTGAAAGATTTATAATACTTCGTCTTTATGATCAACATAGTCCATGTTATAATTACTATGTACATATCATATCTACAAAAAAAATTAATTTAAAATCAACTATTGCAACTATCTAACCATTTGTTTTTATATCATTCAATCAGTAAACGATCTCTTATTGATTTTTTGCAGAAATAATATGTAAAAAGCGATATAATAAATATGAACAATTCCGATCATGCACATAAAAAATCGTGAATCAATAACAAAGCATCTTGAAGAGAATTCATCATCCATTAACAAGACAAGTGGGTTTCTTAAAAAAGCATGACCATGTTGTCATTTTCCATCTTGTCCATCCCACCATGAAAGACACTGGCAAGTGTGAGCCATATTTTTATTTTATACGAATTCAACGAAGTTGAACCCCATTGGAATAAAAATTGTCAGCCCACTGTATTCAAATCTAGTTCATAAAAAATTTAACTCAAAGCTTCCGTTGCATCAACTCACTGCATTTTAAATTCAAACTCTTCTCCTTTCTTTATGCTATATTTAGATGAGGGAAATAAACTCGAAATTTTGACAAAAATAAGAATTTATAATTGACATGAACAAATTCCTTTGTTACATTTATAAACATAGAAACTTAGAATTTCGGCATGGATAACTAGACTTTGAAGCAGTCATTAGTTGTAAATAAGTGTCATTTCCAAATTTATGTGAGGAAGAGTTTAAAATAATAATTTTCGTATTCAAATTTCATTGTTCTGTTAGGTTAACCAAACAAGAAAATTAACAAATTCTAGAAAATAAAACTCCATCATTCCAATTTCCGTCATTTTAGAATTCCTTAGTAATCATAAACTTACTATCCAAACAAAGTGTTAGTATAGTTTAGCAAGAATTTCGCTTGTTTTCAAATTTCCAGTCCAACTTAAAAAATAATATAAAACTGAGTGGATCCAGTTAGTCCTTAAATAACCCAGAAAGAAAACAAAAGTAATAATCTGAGAAAATAATAATGATACCACATAAGATTAGAAATCAACCAAGTTTATTTCATTGACGTAAAAGTTTGGCTTCTTAAGATTGTCAAGGAGTTCCTTCTTGATATACTTCGTAATAGATTTATGAAACTTCGTCTTTATGATCAACACAGTTCATGTTATAATTACAATGTAAAAATCATCTCTGTAAAAAAAATTAATTTAAAATCAACTATTGCAACTATCCGATCATTTGTTTTCATATCATTTGATCAGTAAACGATCTCTTATTGATGTTTTGCAAAATAATATGTAAAGAGTGATGTAATAAATATGAATAGTTCCGATTATACACATAAAAAGTTGTGAATCGATAACAAAGCATCCTATTCATCATCCATTAATGAGACAAGTGAGTTTGTTAAAAGAGCATGACCATGTTGTCATTTTCCATCTTGTTCTTCCCACCATGGAAGGCACTGGCAAGCGTGAGCCAAATTTTATACGAATTCAACGAAGTTGAACCATATTGGAATAAAAATTGTCAGCCCACTGAGTATTCAATTCTAGTTCATAAAAAATTTAACTCAAAACTTCCGTTGCAGTGTAGTGGTGGGTTGTAATTGTTCTTATGATTAAGATTTTTCTTTTCAACTCACTGTGTTTAACAAATTCTAAAAAATAAAACTCCGTCATTTTAATTTCCGTCATTTTAAAATTCTTTAATAATCATAAACTTCCTCGACCAAACAAAGTGTTAAAAAATAATATAAAACTGAATGGATCCAGTTAGTCCTTAAATAACCCTAAAAGAAAACAAAAATAATAATCTGAGAAAATAATAATGATACCACATAAGAATAGAAATCAACCAAGTTTATTTCATCGACGTAAAAATTCAATCAAATATTTCTACAAAATATCAGTAGCAACTTCAACTAAGCAGATAATGTAGTTTCAGTATCTATGGAAAACTGGACTTTGAAGAAGTCATAAGCTGCTTATTTTCAAAGCAAACTAAGATCCTACCAACCAATAACTTCACCAAATATTTGCTTCTAGATCTCATCAACCCCACTGATTCTTTCTTTTGGAAATCAAACACGACACGTTACATGTTGCGCGGAGGTTTAGTTCCACTGGTTGAGTCTCCGGCTGTTGGGTTCAGCACCGAGTCGCTGGCAAGAGAACTGTTCCCGCCTCCCTCTTGAGCCACAACTGGGATCTTAACTGCCGCTCTTTCCATCTCCTTCTCGAGCTCTTCCTCCTGTCGCAGTGCAGTGAACTGTTTGTCTAGGGAACTGGCTGCTGCCAGCCATGCAAGAACAATCACCAGTAGTACTCCTCCAAGGTAAGGTGTTGAATTGGCGAGTGATCCGAAGGTTAAAATCATAAACTGCTGAATCAGAGCACCACCAGACTTCCCCAATGGGTTGCAGACAACATCAATGGCCGCCTTTCCTTTAACCTACAGCAAGAATTTAACAAGGAATGTAAACAAAAAATGCCTCATAAGGAAACTCAAATTAGAAAACTCGAACTTTTCCCGGATTAATGTGATTAACAAATGACAGAAACCTCCCCTCTACAAAGATAAGATCCATAATTCAATTCGCCTGTCTTAATTGATAGGTGAACCAAATAAATAGAAACAGCAATAGATGACACTATTTGCGAAGCCAAATTCTAAACCGGAAGAGTAAGAGTCCAAACCTTGGTGTCCTCATCCAAGGGAATGTATGCCATTTCTTTGCATGGGTCAAACAAGCTGTACTTGGCACTCTTGCTGAAAATGTTTTGCAGAGCACCCACATATACTGCTGCAAGAAGAGGAGTCATCCCGAGGCTTGCAATAGCCGGTGAAAGTGGGCCACCGAACAATATCAAAGAGAAGAAACCAACTCCAGTGAGAAGTAGCACTGTAGGTGTGATCTTTGCAGCAACTCCCCATCCGTACTTTTCGAATATAACTTGGCTGAGCAACATCATTGTGAACGTTGCTATTCCGGTGGCAGTTGAGAAGTCGCCCATGAAAGAAGAGTACTCATTTGGGCTTGGAAACTGTGCGAGTAGAGTAGCAGGAGAGAGAGAGGCCAATTAGTAAACAATAAAATAGGCAAAGATCAAGTAAATTGGGTTACAGTATACCTGAGCTTTGAGCTTCGATTTCCATGTAACCTCCACAACGT